ATAACAGGGAGGTAATGTATTATGACAGGGGAGGTGATGTATTATGACAGGAGGTAATGTATTATGACAGGGGAGGTGATGTATTATGACAGGAGGTGATGTATTATGACAGGAGGTATTATGACAGGGGGAGGTAATGACAATGACAGGGGAGGTGAAGGCACATGACAGGGAGGTAAATGTACAGACAGGGGGATGTGATACAGACAGGGGAGGTGATGTATTATGACAGGGAGGTAATGTATTATGACAGGGGGAGGTGATGTACAGACAGGGGAGGTGATGTATTATGACAGGGAGGTAATGTATTATGACAGGGAGGTAATGTATTAGACAGGGGAGTGTGATGTACATGACAGGAGGTAATGTACATGACAGGGAGGTGATGTATTAATGACAGGGGAGGTGATGTATATGACAGGGGAGGTAATGTATTATGACAGGGGAGGTGATGTATTATGACAGGAGGTAATGTATTATGACAGGGGAGGTGATGTATTATGACAGGGAGGTAATGTATTATGACAGGGGAGGTGATGACATGACAGGGAGGTGATGACATGACGGGAGGGGATGCATTATGACGGGAGGTAATGTATTATGAAAGGAGTGTAAAGACAGACAGGGGAGGTGATGTTTTATGACAGGGAGGTAATGTATTATGACAGGGGAGGTAATGATTATGACGGGGAGGTAATGTATATGACAGGGAGGTGATGTATTAAGACAGGGAGGTAATGTATTATGACAGGGGAGGTGTGATGACATCACAGGGGAGGTGAGTGTACATGACAGGAGGTAATGTATTATGACAGGGGAGGTGATGTATTATGACAGGGAGGTAATGCTATGACAGGGGGAGGTAACAGACAGAGGGAGGTGATGTTTTATGACAGGGAGGTAATGATGTGACAGGGGAGGTAATGGTTAAGACGGGAGGTAATGTATATGACAGGGGAGGTGATGTATTATGACAGGGGAGGTGATGTATTATGACAGGAGGTGATGTATTATGACAGGAGGTAATGTATTATGACAGGGAGGTAATGTATTATGACAGGGGAGGTGATGTATTCTGACAGGGGGGTGATGTATTATGACAGAGGTGATGTATTATGAGAGGGGAGGTGATATTGTGCAGGGGAGAGTGTATTATGACAGGGGAGGTGATGTATTATGACAGGGGAGGTGATGTGTATTATGACGGGGAGGTAATGTATTATGACAGGGGAGGTGATGTATTATGACAGGGGAGGTGATGTATTATGACGGTGATGTATTATGACGAGGTGATGTATTATGACGGGGGGTAATGTATTTTGACAGGGGGAGGTGATGTATTATGACAGGGAGTGATGTGTGCATAAGCGGGGGAGGTAATATATGACAGGTGGAGGTGATGTATTATGACAGGGGAGGTGATGTGTGTACAGGTGGAGGTGATGTATTATGACAGGGGGAGGTAATGTGTGTGACAGGGGAGGTGATGTATTATGACAGAGTGATGTATTATGACAGGTGGGTGATGTGTGTGGGGAGGTGTGTATTATGACAGGGAGGTAATGTATTATGACAGGGGAGGTAATGTATTATGACTGGGAGGTGTGATGTATTATGACAGGGAGGTATTATGACGGGGAGGTGATGTATTATGACGGGGAGGTGATGTAATTATGACGGGGGTGATGTGTGTATGACAGGGGTAATGTATTATGACAGGGGAGGTGATGTATTATGACAGGGAGGTAATGTATTATGACAGGGAGGTAATGTATTATGACAGGAGGTAATGTATTATGACAGGGGAGTAATGTATTATGACAGGGGAGGTGATGTATTATGACAGAGTGATGTATTATAACAGGAGGTAATGTAATTATGACAGGGGAGGTGATGTATTATGACAGGGGAGGTGTGTATATTATGACAGAAGTGTTGTTAGTATGACAGGGGAGGTGATGTATTATGGCGGAGTAATGTATTATGACAGGGGGGTGATGTATTATTATGACAGGGGAGGTGATGTATTATGACAGAGTAATGTGTTATGACAGGGAGGTAATGTATTATGACGGGGGAGGTGATGTATTATGACAGGGGAGGTGATGTATTATGACAAGCGGAGTAATGTATTATGACAGGGAGGTGATGTATTATAGACAGGGGAGGTAATGTATTATGACATGTGGAGGTGATGTATTATGACAGGGGAGGTGATATTATGACAGGTGGAGGTGATGTATTATGACAGGAGTAATGTATTATGACAGGGAGGTGATGTATTATGACAGGGAGGTAATGTATTATGACTGGGAGGTGATGTATTATGACAGGAGGTAATGTATTATGACAGAGGTGATGTGTTATAAGCAGGGGAGGTGTATGACAGGGGAGGTGATGTATTATGACAGGGAGGTAATGTATTATGACGGGGAGGTGATGTATTATGACAGAGAGTGTGTATTATGACAGGGGAAGTGTGTATTATGACAGGGAGGTAATGTATTATGACAGGGAGGTAATGTATTATGACAGGGGGAGTGATGTATTATGACGGGGGAGGTGATGTATTATAACAGGAGGTAATGTATTACTGACAGAGGTGATGTATTATGACAGGGGAGTAATGTGTGTTGACAGGGAGGTGATGTATTATGACAGGGGAGTGTATTATGACGGGGAGGTAATGTATTATGACAGGGGGAGGTGATGTATTATGACAGGGGGAGGTAATGTATTATGACAGGGGGAGGTGATGTATTATGACAGGGGGAGGTAATGTATTATGACAGGGGGAGGTGATGTATTATGACAGGGGGAGAGTAATGTATTGTATTGACAGGGGAGGTGATGTATTATGACAGAGGAGGTGATGTATTATGACGGGAGGTAATGTATTATGACAGGAGGTAATGTATTATGACAGGGAGGTGATGTATTATGACAGGGAGGTAATATATTATGACAGGGAGGTAATATATTATGACGGGGGAGGTGATGTATTATGACGGGGAGGTGATGTATTATGACAGGGAGGTGATGTATTATGACAGGGAGGTAATATATTATGACAGGGAGGTAATATATTATGACGGGGGAGGTGATGTATTATGACGGGGAGGTGATGTATTATGACAGGGAGGTGATGTATTATGACAGGGAGGTAATGTATTATGACAGTGAGGTAATGTATTATGACAGGGAGGTAATGTATTATGACAGGGGGAGGTGATGTATTATGACAGCTGGCGCCGGCCAACCAAGGTTACTTAATGGTATTTATTTATCTGTCATGTAGTGGAGTTTTAAGTTTTTCTCTTATAAATTTCAATGACTGTGACTCTATAGTAATGCATACAAGCACCTCACCAGGCATCACACAAGGAGCTTTGAATTTCTGCATATGTAATGTATTTCATGGGGCAAAGGGAGGCTCAGGAATGTAACTCCTGTATTTTATCTATTTCTTATGGGGTAAATTGATCCGCTTAACGTTTCGTATAACGTCGCATTTTCAGGAACATAACTCCGACGTTAAGCGAGAACTTACTGTAGTTTTGATTAGGGTTGTTGTATCCTGAGTGCAGAATATTACATTTTCTAGTGTTATTAAAGAACATTTGTCAGACTCAAGACCATTTGAACAGCCCATTCAGATCTTTTTGCATCATTGCAACATTTTGACTTCCTACCTTCTCTAATATGTTCATATCACCTGCAAATATGACAGTGTAATTTGACCTTTTTTCATTTGTTATTTATGTAGATCACAAACAGGGTGGGTCCAAGGATAGATCCTTGTGGTACCTCACTGAGAACTTCTTCCATTCAGAATATACTCTATGTATCACCACTCTCTGTTGCCTTTGTTAGAGCCAGTTATAAATACACTTCAATATTTTGTCTATGATGCCAGGTGCCTGTAACTTAGAGGCCAGTGGTGCATGTGGGACTTTATCAAATGCAGGATTGACTTACAGCCCCTGGGCATATGTAGCGATAACTTCTAGTAACAGTGTATCACAGTAATGGGGAGAACAAATTATATCTACTGTTACCAACTGTGTAACTGTTAGGTGACTGTTACTGTTGTGGAACAACTACTTGTGAAGCTGTCATATATTTAACAACCTTGCTGGATGGTCACCCTTGTAACAGGCACTGGTGAAGCTGTTACCTTATATTCTAGATGAACTAGAATATGAATAAAAGTTTATTGGGTTTTAGTAGCGAAAGCCAATATGTTCCCTTTCTTAGTTTATTATCAAATGAGTCTATGTACACTGTCCAAAGGATAATCACTGTAATAGTCACTGTAACTGTGAGGGCTAGGGGAAGGACGGAGCTATCAGGGATAGGCTCTAAGAACAGAGTATCTCAGACGTCCTCCCTCGAGGAAAGACGGAGCTCATCACGGATGGCTTTAATAACGTCTACCTCTCGTGAGTGCTATCAAACCGCTCCTCAAGGAAGACGGAACTCATCACGGATGGCTCTAATAACATCCTCCTCTCGGGAGTGGTGAGTATAAACTGCCTGCAACAGGTAGCCAGGGAGCCGGTTATTTATGTCTTAGCTAGCACTTAGTGATGTGACTTCCTGGCTAGTTCTATATTAATACTGTATACAACAGTGGCTAGTGTAAGAGTGAAAGAAGGTCCCATAGTGCTGACGGATTGTTAGGAGCATGAACCAGGAGGTGAATGCTATATCCACCCAGCTGCTGCAATACTTTCCATGTTGACCAATTGTTAAAGACTTTTCTTCCAGAATTTCTGAACCAGTTAACGTGAAAATTATCATTGAAGACCATGTGACAGAGGCCTTAAATTTGTTTTAGGAATCTTGTTATCTGGAGAGGCGTTGCAGCCTTCGCAGTCATATTAAAGCATATGTTTTACATGTGTAAAGTTGTGGATTTCTTTTAATTTGTAAAAACTGGTAAACATCTGTCTTCTGGGATGACATCTTGAAGTATTGTATCTGTGAATGTATTTCAGGATTCCTCAAGACTCAACTTCTGTCATCCCTCCACCGTCCACCACCTGTCATCCGTCCGTCATTCCCCGGTATATTTTTTATTTCTGAATTGCTTGGCTGATTCTTGAGAACTTTGTATGGGTGGATGTTCTTTCTGAAAGGTTGCACTGCACTATTCCTCTCGATGTTCTTATCAACAAAAATTTAGCATCTATAGCAACTAGGTGTAGAAGCTTCTTGCAAGCTTTGATCAGTAAAGTGAAGCAACTAAGGTTTCTACTCAATAAATTTGTTAAGGTATTGTATTGGGCCAATCAAAATTAAGATTTTTGTAACTTTATAGTTATTAGATTGTTAGTTTGGATTATCTTTATATTAATGTTGTCCAGGATTCTCCCAATTGTTCGATTTCAAAATAGTTTATATTTTTTAATATTCTTTTCAGTCACATCCTTACCAACTTATTGAAGTTATTTCCAATTTTATGTAAAATAAGTTTTAAGAATGCAATCAATTTCGTGTTGTACTTATCTAGGAAACCATTTTTGTATGTAATTTTTGTAATGTTTACAAGTGATCTCAAGTCACATAAAGAGCATTGAACAACCCCGTGGCAGAGGGCTCCTGGACCAGGGCTTACTGACCTGAGGCAGGCTTACTGACCTGAGGCAGGCTGAGGCAGGCTTACTGACCTGAGGCAGGCTGAGGCAGGCTTACTGACCTGAGGCAGGCTGAGGCAGGCTTACTGACCTGAGGCAGGCTTACTGACCTGAGGCAGGCTTACTGACCTGAGGCAGGCTTACTGACCTGAGGCAGGCTTACTGACCTGAGGCAGGCTTACTGACCTGGAGGCAGGCTTGGGAGGCAGGCTTACTGACGAAGGCAGGCTTACTGACCTGAGGCAGACCTGAGGCAGGCTTACTGACCTGAGGCAGGCTTGCTGACCTGAGGCAGGCTTGCTGACCTGAGGCAGGCTTACTGACCTGAGGCAGGCTTACTGACCTGAGGCAGGCTTACTGACCTGAGGCAGGCTTACTGACCTGAGGCAGGCTTACTAACCTGAGGCAGGCTTGCTGACCTGAGTCAGGCTTACTAACCTGAGGCAGGCTTGCGAACCTGAGGCAGGCTTGCTAACCTGAGGCAGGCTTACTGACCTGAGACAGGTTTACTGACCTGAGGCAGGCTTACTGACCTGGGACAGCTTCCTGCTGTTAGTTACTTCCTGGGAGATGACTTGAGGATAAATATTACATGACTGTCAGTTGGGGTCACCACATTATTGTGTAAGTCATGATGACTTGTTTTGTGTTGTTGTGACTCTTATTATGGTCTGTTGAGTGTTGTCCTCTACGTTAGTTATGAGTTGACCCAGGGAAAAGGGCAGCCGGGCCCTTGTTCCCCGGGCCAAGCCAAGAGGCAGCCGGGCCCTTGTTCCCCGGGCCAAGCCAAGAGGCAGCCGGGCCCTTGTTCCCCGGGCCAAGCCAAGAGGCAGCCGGGCCCTTGTTCCTTGGGCCAGGCCAAGGGGCAGCTGGGCCCTTGTTCCCCAGGCCAGTGTTGCTCAGGTTTTGGGCACTATCTGACTGTACCTGGAACCAAACATTTTTCGGTTAAATGTAATTTCATCAATGACAAAACTCTATATGAATGTAGTGCAACAATCACATTTCCTTATTTTTTGGATCACCTGATGTTTAATGACAAATGATACAGTAAAGTTATCAAAAGGTAACACTTCATCATAGTTATATTTGTTTATTTCCTGTTTTGGCATGTGTCTTTAGTCATCCGGCCTTGTGATTAATTCATTGATTCTATAACTCAAAAGACGATTAAGTTCCTCTTTTTTATCAGAAGGGCAGATACCATGTCAGGAGTTGTGTGCGTTATATTTTTACCCACCCCAGTCCGTCATCAGTGGCAGCTGGGAGAAAGGCTTATGGTTAACAGAATTTTACTGAGGGACTGAGATATACCAGCTGAGTCAGGGACTTTTGTTTTTACTGCTTGTGATCTTCAACACTTTACTTGATCTGATCTTCATTACTTGTTCTGATCTTCAACACTTTACTTGATCTGATCTTTAACACTTGTTCTGATCTTCAACACTTGTCTTGATCTTCAACACTTGTCTTGATCTTCAACACTTGTCTTGATCTTCAACACTTGTCTTGATCTTCAACACTTTACTTGATCTGATCTTCAACACTTGTTCTGATCTTCAACACTTTACTTGAGCTGATCTTCAACACTATAACTCATCACCAGACTGTTGTAGTTGAGAGCTGTATAATTAATCACCATTAGGGCGTGAAGAAAGTAGTTGTGTTGCCGGGAGAGTGGGTGAGAGTAAGATGGTATAATTGAGGTAAATGTAGGATATACAGCATCTCGTGTATGATATTAAGATGACTCCTGGGCTGATGTGGTAAACTTTCACGTGTAGTCTATGGCAGTGATCTCTGTAGGTCACTGTTGTGTTTCTTGTTGGCTACAAGAGAGACATTCCTAAGCTGAAACCCTCTTTTTGTATTATAATTTACTAAATGTCTTTCCTGGCACCTCACTGTTTATTTGTTTACATCACCTCTCACACACTTGTGTTTGTTTACATCACATGTTTCACATCTCACTGAACAATTTGTTTTATCTTTAATACTCACACCTTGCTCACCTGTATTGACCATGATTTTGTACAGTGTGTGCGTGCGTGCGTGTGTGTCAAGAAGGTGTCAATACGTTTGAGTTAGCCCGACTGCAAAACGAGGCAGACAAGCGCCAATGCCAGAAAGACAATACCACTGCCCCTCCCGCACTAGGTGTAGCCCCCCCATATGTGCAACAACTGTAATTGACACTGCCGGTCCTGTATCGGCCTCTTTAGTCACCTCAGAACTCACCAACATAGGTGACATCCTTAATGACTCACATACCATTGTTTCTTACTGTAGCTCGATGATCGTCATCTCGATTCTAAGTGACAACAAAGTAGTAGTAGTACTGTAGTTGTGTGTGTATAAAGGAAACATACACCCTATTTTTACTTTAGCCATTGTATTTATTGTCTCCGGGTTTGGTGAAATATAAGGTGCTAAAAAACTTGAATATTAATATCAGTAATATACATTTATAATCGAAGACACAGACACTAAAAGAAATATATACGGACAAAGAGATAGACGCACACACGTATATTTGTATGTATGTAATAATGCCTGCCTGTAAGTTTATAAAATTATTAAACCAATAATGCTTGTATGTACTATATACAACAGGAGATGGGGCAGTGTCTCCAGTGACGGTTGGTGGAGGACAAGGTGACCCGGGCATACAGCTGGCCAATGCACTGTCTGCCTGCATATTGTCAACCCATCTCCCACACTCTCACCGCCAGTGGGCAGCAACACAACTGGTAAGTCACAATGATAGAAATTTATGTTTGGTTCATATTTTTCAGAGATACATTGCCAAAAACATCACTCTGGAAACTTTGTTACCATTACTTCACCATGATCCCATTTATATAGACTTACCCTTTGGTTGCTCTTATGCTTTGTTCTAAAACTAAAAATTTGAAATAATCTTTTTTTTTTTTAAATAAATGACCTTTCATGGTGGTGCTGTTGGCAGCCCTTTCATGGTGGTGGTTACAGCCCTTTCATGGGTGCTGTTGGCAGCCCTTCTCATGGTAGTGCTGTTGGCAGCTCCTTACATGGTGGTGCTGTTGGCAGCCCTTTCATGGTGGTGCTGTTGGCAGCCCTTCTGGATGGTGCTGTTGGCAGCCCTTTCATGGTAGTGCTGTTGGAGCCCCTTTCATGGTAGTGCTGTTGGCAGCCTTTCATGGTAGTGCTGTTGGCAGCCTTTCATGGTAGTGCTGCTAGGCCCTTCATGGTAGTGCTGTTGGCAGCCCTTTCATGGTGGTGCTGCTGGCAGCCTTCTTATGGTGGTGCTGTTGGTAGCCCTTTCATGGTAGTGCTGCTGTAGCCTTCATGGTGGTGCTGGCAGCCCTTTCATGGTGGCTGTGGGCAGCCTTTCATTGGTGGTGCTGTTGCAGCCCTTTCATGGTGGTGCTGTTGGCAGCCCCTTTCATGGTAGTGGTTGGCAGCCCTCATGGTGGTGCTGTTGGCAGCCTCATGGTGGTGCTGTTGGCAGCCCTTCATGATGGTGCTGCTGCAGCCCATTCCAGGTGGTGCTGTTGGCAGCCTTTCATGGTGAGCAGCTTGTTGGCAGCCTTCATGGTGGTGTTGGCAGCCCTTTCATGGTGGTTGTTGGCAGCCCTTTCATGGTAGTGCTGTTGGCAGCCCTTTCATGGTGGAGCTGTTGGCAGCCCTTCATGGTGGTGCTGTTGGCAGCCCTTTCATGGTAGGTGTTGGCAGCCTTCATGGTGGTGCTGTTGCAGCCCTTTCAAGGTAGTGCTGTTGGCAGCCCTTTCATGGTGCTGTTGGCAGCCCTTTCTATGGAGCTGTTAGTTCTTCATGGTGGTGCTGTTGGCAGCCCTTCGGTGGTGGTGCTGTTGGCAGCCCTTCATGAGTGGTTATAGCCTTTCCATGGTGGTGCTGTTGCGGCCCTTTCATGGTGGTGCTGTTGGCAGCCCTTTCATGGTGGTTAGACCTCATGCAGTTAGCCTTTCATGTGGAAGCCATGGTGCTGTTGGCCTTTCATGGTGGTGCTGTTGGAGGCCCTCATGGTGGTGCTACAGCCCTTTCATGGTGCTGTTGGCAGCCCTTCATAGGGTGCTGTTGGCAGCCCTTCACAGGGTGCTGTTGGCAGCCCTTTCATGGTGGTGTTGGCCCTCTATTGGCAGTTCCCTTTCATGGTGTTGTTGGCAGCCCTTTCATGGTGGTGCTGTTGATGGTCTTTCATGGTGGTGTGTTGGAGCCCTTTCATGGTAGTTGTTAGCAGCCCTCCTCATGGTGGTGCTGTTGGCACCCTCCTATGGTGGTGCTGGCACCCTCTCATGGTGGCACCCCTCTCATCTCATGGTGGTGCTGTTGGCACCTCCCACGGTAGTGCTGTTGGCACCCTCTCTATGGTGGTGCTGTTGGCACCTCTCTCATGGTGGTGCTTTGGCACCTCTCATCTCCATGGTGGTACAGTTGGCACCCCTCTCATGGTAGTGCTGTTGGCACCAAAATTTTTTCAAATGACGAACAGATTTCCTAGACCGAACGTTCGTCCTGTAGGAGAGCGTCACTGGCTGGTCGCTTGGTGACGCGATAATTTCCAGAGCGCTTTAGTTGATGTTTGGCTGTCGTTGTTGTCGATAGTGATTTCTGTACTGACAATATTTTCGTTTCTAATTCACTTTAGAATGACTGGTAAGTGTAGAAGTGAGAGTGCGGTGGGCTCATAAGAAAAGGAGCAGTCAATTACTTTTGAGACGAAAATGAAGATAATATAGTGGTCCTCGGTTAACGAACTCAATCCGTTCCAGAAGGTCGTTCGTTAACCGAAACGTTCGTTAACCGAAACCATTGTTTCAATGGGTTTTTGGGTAATTGGTTCCAGCTCACCGAAAATTTCCTAAATTCAACAAAAATGGTAGAAAAGTTCACTTACTTTAAGGTGTGTATGTAGAAGGCTCCTGGATGATGATGATGATGATGGGATTTAGAATGTGGGTGGAGGAGAAGGAAGAAGAGAAGGCATTGGGGTGGAAGAGAAGTCACCCCATGGTGCCATTTCACCCATAAAATTTTAGCTCTCTGGTTTAATTCAAGATTATTTTCTTTAAATCAACGCTGCACTGCATTATATATTGTCAATATATAAAATATATTTCAAAATGACCAATAATTTGCTTGGAAACACAGAAAAAAAGCGTTTAGTTGAAGAGAGTCTCAAGCAAGATGTTACCTCCAGTGAAAACAGAGAGAGACTGACGCCTGTTTGCTGTGTAAAGAGGCTGGATGCCGTGCATTAAACTAGTCACTTTACCTTCAATTATGTTCAATAATTGTTAAAATGACTAAAAAATTGAATATTAAACTTTTAAAATTATTGAATAGTATAAACTTCTTGATATTTACTAAAATGGTAAGGAATATAAGCCCAGGAACCGATTACTGTATTGGCGGACTCATACTACAGCTGGTGGACTGCCAAATGCAAGCGAAAACATGTGGAGGGGCGCTCGTAAGAAACTCGTTAATTGAGGGATTGCTCGTCAACCAAAGTTAAGAGTCTTATGGAAGGTAACTCGTTAACCGAGGCGCTCGTTAACCGAGGGACCACTGTAATGCAATATGAAAATGGAAAAACGGGAGCAACCATTTCACGCGACCTTGGCTTCTCTCACTTGACCATATCGACAATTTTGAAGGACAAGGAACGAATTCGTGAGGTAGTGAAAGGATCAGCACCTATAAAGGGAACAATAATAACGAAAAAAGACAAGGTCTTATTCATGAGATGGAAAAATTACTTGTGATATGGATGGAAGATCAGATACAAAAGCGTGTACCCTTAAGCCTTCTAACCCTACAGGCTAAGGCAAGAAGCCTTTTCAAAATCCTGAAGGAGCAGGCAGGAGATGAGTGCGACAAAAACTTCACAGCAAGTCATGGGTGGTTCCAAAGGTTTAAGAACCGCTACAGTTTGCATAGTGTAAAGGTGACTGGAGCGGCAGCAAGTGCTGATGTGGGTGCTGCCGAAGCTTTTAAGGAGGAGCTAGATTGTGTCATCGTGGAGGGAAATTATTTGCCTGAGTAAATAATTAATGTGGATGAAACTGGCTTATTATGGAAGCGCATGCCAGAACGGACATATATCCACAAAGAGGCGAAAACAATGCCAGATTCAAGGCATTCAAGGACCGAATTACACTTCTGTTGGTGGGGGGGAATGTATCTGGTTTCAAGATAAAGCCCTTCATGATATTCACTCAGAGAACCCAAGGGCTTTTAAACATGTTAGCATGTTAGCAAGCACACACTGCCAGTGCTTTATTGCAGTAATAAGAAAGCATGGATAACCCTAGTACTGTTTGAGGATTGGTTCCTGACTTGTTTCATTCCACGAGCCAAGGAGTATTGTCTGCAACAGGGGATTGCATTCAAGATTTTGTTAATTTTAGATAATGCTCCGGGACACCCACCACACCTGGACGACATGCACCCTGATGTTAAGGTAGTCTACATTTCACCTAACACTACCTCTATCATGCAACCCATGGATCAAGGTGCTATTGCTGCTTTTAAAGCGAATAATTTACGTACGACCTTCGCTCAGGCTGTTGCTGCTACTGAAGGTGAGAAAATGCTCAGAGAGTTTTGGAAGGAGTACAACATTTTGCAATGTACCGTACAAAGAACATAGATGCAGCATGGGATGAGGTTACAGGTCAGTGCATGAATAGAATATGGAAGAAAGTCCTGAAAAGTTATGTGAACAGTTTCAGAGGATTTAATGAAGATGAAGCAATTTCTGAGATTAGTAACAAGAGAGTGCAGATGGGTCAACAGCTGGAGTTAGAAATTGATAATGAAGATGTTGAGCAGTTGGTGGAAAGTGTAGCAGAAGAGCTCAGTAACGAGGATCTTATTGAACTAGATGCACAGAAAAATGCAGAGGAAGAAGAGAGTAAAAATGTAGAAGAAGAACCTGTACCCCCAAAAATTTTTCAGTGAAACAAATGACAGAGGCATTTGCTACAATTAATAAGGGGATGCAAATGGTTGAAGGAATGGATCAAAATGTTGAGCGCTTTGCAAAAGTTGACAGAATGGTCCAAGATGCACTTGCTTGCTACAGGGAGATTTACAATGAAAAGAAAAGGCAAACTGTGCAGTCTAAATTGGACATATATTTTAAGAAGTCCCCCATTGCTGTCTCCTCACACCCCACCACTGCTGCCTCTTCACTCCCAAAAGATGATCCGAGGGCCGGATTAACCATGAGGCACTTGAGGCACTGTCCTCAGGTCCCCAGACTCTTAGGGGCCCTGAGATTCTAAGGATAAAAATATTTAGCTATATATGCCATTAAATGGTTAATTAGTCAGTAAGCCATTAACTATTTCGTTCTTAATGTGTCCAATTGGATCATACATATACATTTTAGTGACTCGGTAGTGGTGTGTGGCAACTGTTAGTCCGTTCGACAACAGTAGCTGACGACACTCAGCTGATCTGGGACTCCATTGTGACGTACGGACGGTACGGTGCCAGACTTTCGTATTGGAGGACCATTTCAGGTAAACAATGATGTATATAACTTCAGTAATAAGTTTTGAATGATCAAAGAATTATGTGAAGCGCAAAATAATGGATAATCTGGAAGGGAAATATGAGGAACGGGTATGTTTATATTGGATTATGTGGCGGGATGGATCACCTGGTAGGGTGCCTCCAAGCTGATCTGTGCCTCAGGCCCCTATTAAGCTTAATCCGGCACTGGATGATCCAATACCTTCAACAAGCAAGTTTCCTCTGTATGTTAACCTGTCTCAAGAAAGCTACATTAATGACCCACCCAGCCCTGTCTCCTCCTCTGCTTCATCCAGTTAATGTAGTCTCCATGTATAATTAAAAAATTATGGGGGCCCCGTGTGCATTCAGCTGACTACATTCAAGGTAAGTGCACAGTAACACTGTATTCATTCTTCATTATTGATTACTTTTACTTTACTGTATTTTATTTTAGATTTTCTATGTATTATTTTTTGCATTTTCGACTTACGACCAATTCGACTTACGACCTGGATTTGGGTCCCTAACCCCGTCGTAGGTCGGGGAGCAGCTGTATATCGTTTATGTACAACAAGAACAGTACTGGACCGAGAATGGAGCCTTGGGGGACGCCATACAATATTGGTGAGGAGTCAGATTGATGATTATTATAGCAGACATACTGCTTCCTGTTAGACAGATATGAGGTAAACCAATTGTGGGATAAGCCCCTAATGCTGTAATGTTCAAGCTTTGACAGGAGGATGGTATGGTCACAATACATCATTATATACCAGGTGTCACAATACATTATCTACTAAGTATCACAATACTTCATTATTTACCAGGTGTGGTCATGTTCCCAAGGTGACCAAGGTTACTAAAGTAGTATAATAGTGATAGCAGTATTAGGTTTCTTGAGGCACCTCATCACCACAAATATTATGTGTGAAATATGTAGCCAGAAGTGTGTTGAATATGATGGTGTAGTATTACATATGACCATAAAGGACTAGGAAGACCTTCTTACCCTCGTGGAAACAAAATCGTGTAATGGTTTCTCTATCTAGTACTGGATAGACCGCCCAAACGGCTAGTAAACTGATAAGGTTATTATTTACTTCAAATCTTTCTTTAATTTCTGAATTAAGCACAAGGACAGGTACAAATACTGTACAGATACCCTTGTGCTGTATTGTGGCAAGTGTTTCAACTCGATAAGAGAGCAAAATATCTGCTCAGGGTCTACAGTATTGTCTCTCTTCATCTTGTATCAACAGAAATTAAATGTATAATATTTTTATTGATTAGGTGGAATGTATTGGTGGTCGTGCACGACTGGTTGACAACCACAATGAATTACCCGGGCCTGGCACGAGTAGCAGCACAGACTTTACGGGAGCGCTGCCTCACGTGCAGACCACTTACTTAGAAGGCCACACTGCTCGCACCTCAAATGTCCTCTGGCTTCAAGCAAGGAATTTACTGGTTACAAGGTAATATTATTTATTCAAATGTGTGATGCTTATCACACAAAGTTTAAGCTAAATAATGTCAATAAATCCTTAATGAGAAAGTTAAAGGTCAGTTCTGGCAGAAGATATTAAATCCTCAAAAAAGTTTATTTAAGCATTTTTGGAAATATAAACGACTAGTATGATTTAAGAGTGTAGACAAGTAATGTTCTTCTGTAGCAAACAGTGATATACTGAAAGTCAGTTTCTGATGGTTTGGCTAAGTCACATTACAGTGATCCCTTGTATTTGTTTGTTGTTTCATGATTAAAATGTCTCAATAGAACACAGGATGCAGAACATTGCCTATTCTTCACATAATCAAAATGAACTCTTTCAACAGTGGACACGATAGTTCAGTTCGGACCTGGAAGGTGGGTCAACGTACTATTGGTCCCCAAGAGCACACATTAGTGTTTCAGCCAAGTGAAAACACTGGCAACTACCCTGTGAACCTGGCGGCCGTGGAACACTTGGTCACACTTCCCTCAGAGCGATATATTGCTGCCACTTTTGAGAATGTTCTCAATATTTGGTCTTTGAGTGGTAAGCTGATATTTTTTCTTCATATTTCTAAACAAAAGACTGTTTCAGAGTTTTTTCTCAGGTTTCATAGTCAAGTGCAGGAAATGTCAGGATATGAAATAATTAGGACTTGCTACAGTGTTGTAGCAGAAGGCAGTCTCTGGGAGGGTACAGGTTCACCTCTCATCCAGCAGCCTATTGACTGACAACTGTTATAGAAAAAGCCTTTATCCTACAAGCCTGGCCATTAACAACATGTTCACCCACCATGTACTGTAATGGTCCAGAAGGCCACACACACCCAAGACAGTATACTCTCGAGTTAACGGAATCTGATTTAATGAACATTCAATTTAGCAGAAGGAATGTCTTCCGTTATTTTTCACTCAATTTGGTGAACTACTGTAGTTCGCTAAATTGAGATCAATTCAGTAAATATGCTCACACCTACGGAGACACCTGAAACACACGATACATACATACAAACATTATTCATGGCTTACATTAAACTGGGGGCTTCAGTGATTGTTTTCAATATTTTCTATTACAGTATTTCCAAACATTTTTCCAAATGATAGCTGCACTCTTTTGACTTTCTCCCCCACATCACTTCCTTCCTGAGACTTCTGAGAGACTTTCGGCGTGATATCTAAGCACAGTAGTTAGTTGACCAAGAGGTAGATCAAGAGGTAGCAGTGAACAACACACTTGGTGGCAGCAGGACACAGACTGAGCGGATGTAAACAAACCCTACGCGCCAAGTGGCTCATTTGGCACAGATTTTTTTTTTACGGGACTAGCACACCAGGGCACAGGTCAATGACCCACATCAGGGCCAAGGGGCGAAAATATACTACTACTACTAATAATAATAATGGTGATAATAATAATAAAGTACCATAAATAACTACAAAAAATAAAAAAAGATCAGTAGTGATACACAATATATCTCTGCTATGTTGTCAAAGTAAGAAAAACAATAATGAAACCCTGCAATGGAGGAGTTGTCAGTCGGAATTCACTATGGTAATAATATTTTAAAATAGATTGAGCCAAAAAGTGTAAAAAATAAGAATTAAAGTTGCTAGAAAGTCACGTGACTGTGTAAAGCTCTGTGATTGGTTGTGACATCACAGACTAGCGCGAGCAGCCGAGGGGGAGCCCGGAGGCAGCCAGCTGTGATGTATGTGTTGTTACCAGCAGAAATACAGGACTTGTGGCCATATACAATATTGATATACACAGGCATACCTTATTTTAGGTTAAAATAAATTACTGCTCAAGTATCATAGTGTGTATTTACTTGCTGGCTGCCTAAATGATGCAAAAGACCGATAACTCCAACATGGAAGTTTTCATCACTGTTCTCTATTTCATGTCTGGAAAATGTAAGTTTTTGTCACTGATGTCTATATTTAATATTGTGGAAGGACCAGGGACGACCATGGCCAGGGGAGGATCAGATGACAGATGTAATTTAACGTGCTTCATAGCTGGATGGCTGAGTTCTGGATAATACTCTACTATCATAAAGACATCTACTTTTGGTAACTTTCTTTCATCTGCCGTGATGAACCCTGGATATAGTTGTCCAACCTTCTCGGCTGATCGGCTCTGTAAATAAATATTATTAGATAATTAATTGTGCTTTACTGTGCAACACAGTAATACTATTTTGAATATATAAATATTACTAAGAACAATAACTAATTCAGTGGATATTAGCTCCCCTTACTACAAATTTCATAGTATAAACATTCCAAACAATATTGGTATTATTTTGGTTTGGGTCATCTGAGATTAAATACTTTAAAAAGTAAGACAAATTATATCTACAGGATTTCTGTCACAAAACATTTTACGTTCGCCGAAGAAAATGCAGGTCATATGTGAGGTTAGGTGAGGGTATGGTGAGTTATATTATAAGTTATAAGGTTAGCTTAACATACACCAGTAAGGAGGGATGGGGGGGTAACTCACAACTAGTGATTTCCGATATTAATGAAGGTCTAAATTATTGATCATAACACATCGCAAACCACCAGAAAAAAACATAGTCTGCATGTCTAAGTACAGGGATGACCAACACTTAGCATTTACCCAATATAGCCTATCTCGAATCTAAACCCCCAAATACTTATGGTAGTTAAAGTAAAATTTTACCCATTAATTAATATAATGAGGATATATCCCAGTGGTTCATTAGTGAATCGTCAAAACAATAACAGTGATTCCCAGGTACAGTACCTGGATAGAGCTTTTTGTGGTAAAAATAAAAATAGGATGAGGGTGTGTTTGCCAGGAGCTGGGGTGGGGGATATAGTTGACAGGATGGACAATATCTTGTCTGGTAATGGGAACAAACCCATTATCTGCCTTAGTGCAGGAGGCAATGATATTGGCCGGTGAAGGAGCAAGGAGCTTCTTGATAAGTTCAAGACAGCTATAGAACGTATTAGGAGAGTTGGCAATGAATGGTGTTTTCAAGGGCAGTTGGTGTCAACGGCCATCTTGACAGATATTGCAAGTCAATATCAGTCCTATTCATTGACAACTGGGACAATTTTTATGGCAGAAGGGACCTTTATGCTAGGGATGGGGTGCATCTGTCTGGGGATGGGGTGGCAACCCTGGCTGGCTCTCTCGAGAGGGCAGTTCAAAAGATGTCAAAGTCTTTAAACTGCTTGGAGAACATATGAGCATGGGGGTGGAGGAGACTGCAGTGGGAGCGGGTAAACAAAGTGAAAGATTACAGGGAAATAGTGCTAGGAATTATGACAAAACTAAATTAGGCAGGAAGTTAAAACCTAAACGCGTCAAAGAGAGGACTCGGAACATGACTAACTTAAATGTCTACTACGGAACAGTAGGAGTATGAGAAACAAAATGGATAAAATCAGGGCGTTGGTATGTACCGAAAAAATCGATATAATAGCATTCACCGAAACATGGATAAACCTAGACTCACGAGAGTTACCTGTCGAATACCAAATTGCAGGTTACAAATTATTCCATACCGATAGGCAGATTAGGAAAGGAGGCAGATTAGCAATCTATGTCAGGGATAATCTGAAGTGTGAAATAAATAAGGAAATAAAAACTGAACTGAATACAGAAACAATTTGGAGAGAATTAATCGATGGTAGAGAAAAATTAATCGCAGGAATAATATATAGACCTCCTAGTCTTGATAGAGTTAATGAACGACTTATTTGGGATGAAATGCGCAGGGCTTCTATACATAGCAAAGTCTGTATAGTAGGCGACTTTAACTTTAGCCAAATAAATTGGATCGACCTTACTGGTAACTCAGAATCAGAGGATTTTATTGAAACAGTTCAGGACTGTTTCCTAAGTCAACATATAACCGAACCCACCTGGGGTAATAATATTCTCGATTTAGTTCTGTCTAAACAGAAAAAACCTTATTAGTAATGTTGAGGTACGGAACAAATTTGCCAGTAGCGATCACAAAGAAATTATATTAAAATTAAAATTTAATGGCAGACTCAAGGAAAATTCCATTAGAGTCCCAGATTTCAGAAGGGCAAACTTTGATAGGTTGAAGAGGCAACTGAGAGAAGGGGTATCACGTTTAGGGATGGATTACATGACCTCTCACAATGTACCCACAGAGGGCGACTTCACTTTACCTGGAGACCTGACAACGATGTCCTCACAAAATATGACAGCTGAGGACGACCTGGTCATGAGATCTGAGGTTGACGAGTTCCACAACAATTTAAATAATGAGTTACTTAATGCATAAAGGCAGAACATACCATACAGAAAACTCAGATCAGATAACAATGACCCTAAATGGATAATAATTATTTAAAGAATATTATTGGACAAAGGAAGCCTATAGGTAGAAGAATACACTGTGGTGAAGTTACCTCCGAGATTATTATAAGGTATTGGCCTGTAAGGTTAAAACCGAGATAAGAAAAGCAAAGAGGAATAATGAACTGAAGGTAGCAAGGGAGGCAAAGTCAAACACCAAGGGATTCTTTCAAATGTATCCAACTAAAACAAGAGAAAAGATTGGACTAATACAGTCAGATACCGGCGAGCTAACTGATAACAATGGAGAAATGAGCAATAATCTGAATAAATATTTTTCAACAGTTTTCACCTCCGAAAATTAAAACATGATACCCGAGGCACCGACTTTATACAGAGATAGTGAAGAAAATAGATTAAGCGTGATTGTAGTGACTAGTAATGATGTTAGTAAGCAAATAAATCACCAGGTCCTTATAAGATATTTGCCAGAGTATTAAAGGAATGTAAGGAAGAGCTTAGTATGCCCTTAGCAAAATTGTTTAATATGTCATTAAAAACGGGTGTAGTGCCAGAATCCTGGAGGATAGTGAATGTAATACCGATTTTCAAGAAGGGAGATAGATCACTATCCTCTAACTACCGTCCAATCAGCTTAACATCAATTGCAGGCAAATTACTGGAAGCAATAATTTCAAACTATTCAAAATCACCTGGAGAAACACAAGTTGATCAATGATTCCCAACATGGCTTCACAGGTGGGCATTCATGTCTAACTAATCTATTAACATTCTTTTCAGCTGTTTTTTAATCAGTGGACGAGGGGCACGCCTATGATGTGGTATATTTTGACTTTAGTAAAGCCTTCGACAGAGTCCTCCACGAAAGACTAATAAGAAAAGTGGAGGCTCATGGCATTGGAGGAGATATTTTAAAATGGATTAGGGCGTGGTTACAGGACAGAAATCAGCGAATGAGCATTAACGGCACTAAATCCGATTGGAGTAACGTCACTAGTGGAGTACCCCAAGGCTCAGTACTTGGACCATTATTATTTATTATATACAGCTGCTCCCTGACTTACGACGGGGTTAGGGACCGACATCCGGGTCGTAAGTCGAAATGGTCGTAAGTCGGAAATGCTTAAATAATACATAGAAAATCTAAAATGGGTGTCTCTTTTTCTTCTCAGCACCACAAAACACTCACTTTTAAGCTTCCCAACCAATTTAAAGTGAATTACAGATGAAAATTTTGTCTGTGTACTGACTTTGGGACTCGAAAATACGTAATTTGACCAAATTTTGGTAACCCCCCCCCGCCGTGTGGAGATAAATTGATAAAAACTCGAATACGTTGGATAGCTTAGGTTGGATGGATATATGAGCAATAGGGGTTGGGTGTAAATGGGACTGCCCAGTATGGGTCAATAGGCCCGCTGCAGTTTCCTCCATTCTTATGTTCTTATGTTCTATGTTGTCATGTTTACCTAGCATCAGGCATTCTCAAAACAAAGTCCAGATAATGTCATTACTTCTAAATTGACTTGTATCTCCATCCCAGTGTCGTCTGCAGGTAAGGTAGTGACGTCATTGCAAATGGCGGCCCTGTTTCTAGAGAAATAAACTTATCTCGACTATTATAGCAGGACTTTAAACTTTTACTACAAATTATATAACCGTATCACTCTACGAACGTGGCAGAGTGTATTTCTTGTGTTTACCCAGAAACGACAAATTATCCATTGTGTGTAAATGAGGCAGAAAGTCAGATCAGCAACCTGGGACTTTTTCACAATTTTTGTGAAGCCATATAGCAGCAGGGTCTACCATTAGACAACACATTATGCTTCCAATATCTTCCCAGGCGGCAGTACTTCCCTGTTTGATAGCTGCCTACTACCTACTACCATTAATGGAATCATGCTTGATTTAGCGAACTATTCTGCTAAATCAAGGAAAAATAACAGAAATTTGATTTACTCGAAATTTTGATTTAATGGAAAAGTGTGGCTCGAATTAGTTCGTTGAATAAAACTAAATACTGTACCACCATAATATCATAACTGTCAAACAAGCTGATAAAAAGTTGTCAACTCATTACACGTGAATACAAATTACTTGTTTTTTTTTAATGTTCATCAAACAAAATAATAATATAGGGTACCGTACAGTATTGTCTATGCATAGATGAAATAACTTCAAATTTTACTCAACGACGCCCATTATCTGACCTCTTAGAGCTACAGCACACTGCTGCCAGATACAGCAAGGGTAATGAACTGCAGTTGAAAGCTAGACAACTATCATTCCCACCACTAGTCAGATCACTAGCAGTTCAGGTGGTCAGTCATTTTTTTTTATGACCTTCATTGGAGAAGACATGCCATATGTGATGGTCATGCTGGATAACACCCTTCTCATATCTGACCCGGGGATTGAACCCATGACACACTGCGGTTTTGCTGCTGATGTTGTCTTTATAGTATTTAACACACACACACACCTACACACACACACACACACACACACACACACACACACACACACACACACACACACACACACACACACACACACACACACACCTACACACACACACCACACACACACACACACACACACACACACACACACACACACCTACACACACACACACACACACACACACACACACACACACCTACACACACACCTACACACACACACACACACACACACACACACACACACACCACACACACACACACACCTACACACACACACACACACACCTCCTACACACACACCTCCTACACACACACACACACACACACACACACACACACACACACACACACACACACACACACACACACACACACACACACACACACACACACACACACACACACACACTCGCACACACACACACACTACATCCTTGACCACCGAAGGTCAAGGCGTACCTGGCGCTCTCTCCGGAGCAGCCAGGTCAACTATTAAGTTGGCCCATACCAACCCTCCCCTGAACCCTCCTCCCCACCGGAATATCACAAGTTCTCACCAGAAGTTACAATTTCATTTAGGAAAGAATGGAACCAGTGTTAAACAGGGTGAACAGTGGTGAACAGTGCTTAAGTCAGTGAACAACTCAACAGTAACAGTCGTACCCAAGTTAACCTTCACACAGTGAGTCCCAGGTACCAGTGATAACGGCCCGTGAGACCCAACAACAACCAGCGATGTGTTAATCCGTCTCACGATAGGAAGGCCTAAGACCAAACCTCACTCATATAACACCATCTGTAGTACTACACCACGTGAGGCCCTCATAACACCATGTGGGGAATTACTACACGTCAGGCCCCTCATAACACCATCTGTGAGGAATTACTACACCATGAGGCCTCATAACACCATATGTGAGGTACTACACCACGCCAGGTCCTCATAACACCATCTGGGGAACTACTACACCGTGAGTTCCTCCTAACACCATCTGGGAGGGAGTTACTACACTACGAGTTTCTGTTCAACACCTACATTAATCTGTATGTTCACTGTATGTTCCTTTACTTTTTCTCTAATGAAGGCTTTTGTTAAACCACCAATGTATGTAATAAGTCATTTATGTCCAATGTATATTTTCATGTCAGGCTGCAAATTTTCAATAAACCGTTAATTATTATTATTATTATTATGATTATTACACACACATACACACACACACTATGCACACACACACACCTACACACACACACACACCACACACACACATACCTACACACACACACACACCTACACACACACACACACACACACACCTACACACACACACACACACACCACACACACACACACACACACCTACACACACACACACACACACACACACACACACACACACACACACACACCTGCACACACACACACACACACACACACCATACACACACACACACACACCTATACACACACACACACCTACACACACACACACACACACACACACACACACACACACACACACACACACACACACACACCACACACACACACCACACACACACACACCTACACACACACACCTACACACACACACACACACACACACACACACACACACACACACACACACACACACACACACACACACACACACACACACACACACACACACACTCTGTCCAAGCCAGATGCCCAGCTGACTGGAAGACCTCTTATGTATCACCAGTGCCCAAGTCAACCAGCCCACAATCCTTAAATCAGCTCGACCTATTGCAATCACCCCAATACCCAGCCTAATCTGTGAAAGTTTGTGTCGACTGGGCTTATGCTGATATTGCAGGTCGTAGACCCTCAGTAACGGCAATATGAAAACTTCCTCCACCACTCACTGTCTTGTCAGCTTTCTCGATTACATATACACGCCATCTCAAGAAACGAAAAACGTCTGTAGCTGTCGCCTTCATTGATTTCACTAAAGCATTCGACCTAGTCGACCACAATATAATCATCAACAAAGCTATTGACCTCGGGCTTGAAGTCTTATACCATAGCATACAGACTTCCTCAGTGACCGGCATGGCCTATGCAGCTTCGAGGCTGTCTCCACCTTTCAGTCACTCACCTGTGGTGTCCCCCAAGGCACCAAAATGGGACCACTCTGCTTCCTTATGCTCATCAATGATGCCCTAAGAGAAACCCTGCTCGCTGGAAATATGTCGACGACTCCACCATTGGGATCAGCGTCAACAATTCTGCTCGACTATACCGCCCTTCAGGATTTATTGAACAGTCTCCAAAACTGGGCCACCAACACCATGTCACCATTAACCATACCAAGACTATGGTTATGCACATCAACCTCTCCTCCGACATTGTCCCACCTCCTTCCATTACTTTAGGTCGAACACACTCCAGGTTGTAGATTCCACGAGCTCTCCGTCACCATGGACAACAAACTAAATTGGAAACCACATGTCAGTGAAGTTGTCAAATCCTCAGTTCCGTCTCACCTCCTCCGCCAACTCAAGTCCTTGGGTTCCTGCACCGAGCTCCTCAGTGTTTGCACAATTCATACTTCCCAAGCTCACCTATGCCTCCTACCTGGTCTTCCTCCTAAATGCCACTACGCGTAAACACCTAGAAAAAGTGCAAAAGAGGAGCGCAAGTTTATTCTCCCTTCCTACTCCACATATCAAGCGCTCAACACACTGACCCTTTCGACTCTCACTGACCATCACCACGACCTCATCTGCAAATTTGGTAAGCTTCTACACCATCCTCGATACCGGCTCCTACTACCACCTGAGATCCCTAGCCAGAATTGCTGTTCGACACCACAACCGCATCCAAGCCCATACGTGCAGAACAGTCGCTATAAGAACAGCCCAGTCCCAACCATTGTAAAATTATCAATAACTTGTAATAAACCAGTGTATTCACTCCCAGTAAATACTACTTCTTGCACTGTCACTATGTTGAAATGCACTGTAGTTTGAGCTTTTCCCATCTAGTTATTATATATCTTATTTGTATCACTTATGTTACTTGTATATTATTTGTAATTGAAACCCATTCCCCAAATATGTAACTGTATATTTTCAGCCTTCTGGCTGCCAAGCTCTTTCAATAAACCGTTAATTATTATTATACACACACACACACACACACACACACACACACACACACACACACACACACACACACACACACACACACACACACACACACACACACACACACACACACACACACACACACACACACACACACACACACACACACACACACACACACACACACACACACACACACACACACACACCACCCTTTCCTGCCATGATACAGTGTCAACAGATGGTTGTTGGTCAGGGTTATAGACTCAGCAACTACTGGGGCTCCTCTTCCCTTGGGCAGGATTCTGGTCCTCTGAAGAGTTGTGTGGCAAGTTGAGTGCATCTGATGGTGTGCTTGTGCTGTGTTAGTGTACTATTGAGACTCAGTCCTCCAATAATTTTCTTGTATTTCCAACAGGTGGAAACATTGGAGCATGGTCAAGCAACAGCTTAATCACATGCCTGGAAGCTGCAGTTCAAGGCTTGTGTGATTGTATGTTAGTTGGTCACCATGATGGCTCAGTGACACTGGCTGCCATCACTGCAAGTGGTGTCGTCCCCTCCACCATCATGCATGCTGGCAGACAAGATGGTATGTTCACTCTTTATTAGTTGGTCTCACTCTGGAAGAACACAGCTGATTTCTTCTTTTTAGTGCACGTCTGTTTGTCATGCAGTAAGTCTACATTTACAATTAACTTTCATTGTAGCATATAATACACCTGCCAATTATTCCATTATTACTAGTTTGGTAATTGTTTTAGATAATATACTATTTAATCCTTCACTCCTGCAGTGTACGTGAGCTGCTTGGCCTGGCAAGACCAAGATAAGGAAGTGGCTGTCGGTTTCAGCGACGGAATAGTTCGCGTTTGTTTCATCAACACAGATGATGATAGTGTAACCCTGCCAGCACAACAAATGGTACATAAATACTTCAACCAATGATCAGGAGTGTGAGCAAGATGTGTACCACTTCTTTAATTAATCATTTATCTGGAGAGTTAGGTTTACTGAGTTGGGTTGACTGAGAGTTGGGTTTACTGAGGATTGGGTTGACTGAGTTGGGTTGACTGAGATTGGGTTGGAGTTGGGTTGACTGAGGTTAGGTTGACTGAGATTAGGTTGACTGAGAGTTGCGTTGACTGAGAGTTGGGTTGACTGAGAGTTGGGTTGACTGAGAGTTGGGTTGACTGAGAGTTGGGTTGACTGAGGTGGGTTGACTGAGAGTTGGGTTGACTGAGAGTTGGGTTGCCTGAGGTTGGGTTGACTGGAGTTGGGTTGATGAGGTTGGGTTGCCTGGGGAGTTGGGTTGACTGAGAGTTGGGTTGCCTGAGAGTTGGGTTGACTGAGTTGGGTTGCCTGGGAGTTGGGTTGACTGAGAGTTGGGTTGCCTGAGGTTGGGTTGCCTGAGAGTTGGGTTGACTGAGGTTGGGTTGCCTGAGAGTTGGGTTGACTGAGAGTTGGGTTGACTGAGAGTTGGGTTGACTGAGGTTGGGTTGACTGAGAGTTGGGTTGACTGAGAGTTAGGTTGACTGAGGTTGGTTGCTGAGAGTTGATCTGGGTTGGTGCTGAGAGTTGGGTTGACTGAGAGTTGGGTTGCCTGAGTTGGGTTGACTGAGAGTTGGGTTGCCTGAGTTGGGTTGCCTGAGAGTTGGGTTGAATGAGAGTTGGGTTGACTGAGAGTTGGGTTGACTGAGGTTGGGTTGACTGAGAGTTGGGTTGACTGAAGTTGGGTTGACTGAGGTTGGGTTGACTGAGTTGGGTTGACTGAGAGTTGGGTTGACTGAGAGTTGGGTTGACTGAGAGTTGGGTTGACTGAGAGTTGGGTTGCTAGAGAGTTGGGTTGACTGAGAGTTGGTTGACTGAGAGTTGGGTTGACTGAGAGTGGGTTGACTGAGAGTTGGGTTGACTGAGAGTTGGGTTGACTGAGAGTTGGGTTGACTGAGAGTTGGGTTGACTGAGAGTTGGGTTGACTGAGAGTTGGGTTGACTGAGAGTTGGGTTGACTGAGAGTTGGGTTGACTGAGTTGGGTTGACTGAGGAGTTGGGTTGACTGGAGTTGGGTTGACTGAGAGTTGGGTTGACTGAGAGTTGGGTTGCTGAGGTTGGGTTGCCTGAGAGTTGGGTTGACTGAGAGTTGGGTTGACTGAGAGTTGGGTTGACTGAGAGTTGGGTTGACTGAGAGTTGGGTTGACTAGAGTTGGGTTGACTGAGAGTTGGGTTGACTGAGAGTTGGGTTGGATAGGAGTTAGGTTGACTGAGAGTTGGGTTGACTGAGAGTTAGGTTGACTGAGGTTGGGTTGACTGAGAGTTGGGTTGACTGAGAGTTGGGTTGACTGAGAGTTAGGTTGACTGAAGTGGGTTGACAGAGTTGGGTTAGAGTTGGGACTGGGACTAAGACTGAGAGTTGGGTTGACTGAGAGTTGTTGACTGAGAGTTGGTTGACTGAAGTTGCCTGAGGTTGTTGACTGAGAGTTGACTGAGTAAGGTTGCCTGAGAGTTGTGAGAGAGTTGGGTTGCCTGAGAGTTGGGGACTGAGAGTTGGGTTGCCTGGAGTTGGGTTGACTGAGAGTTGGGTTGACTGAGAGTTGGGTTGCCTGAGAGTTGGGTTGACTGAGAGTTGGGTTGACTGGAGTTGGGTTGACTGAGAGTTGGGTTGACTAGAGTTGGGTTGCCTGGAGTTGGGTTGACTGAGAGTTGGGTTGCCTGAGAGTTGGGTTGACTGAGAGTTGGGTTGACTGAGAGTTGGGGACTGAGAGGAGGAGTTGGGTTGCCTGAGAGTTGTTGACTGAGAGTTGGCCGAGAGTTGCCTGAGAGTTGGGTTGCCTGAGAGTTGTTGACTGAGAGTTGTTGACTGAGAGTTGCAAAACAAAATGTTGACTGAGAGTTGGGTTGAATGAGTTGTTGACTGAGAGTTGGGTGACTGAGAGTTGGGTTGACTGGAGTTGTTGACTGAGAGTTGGGTTGCCTGGAGAGCTGGGTTGACTGAGAGTTGGGTTGACTGAGAGTTGGGTTGCCTGAGAGTTGGGTTGACTGAGTTGGGTTGACTGAGAGTTGGGTTGACTGAGAGTTGCTGAATGAGAGTTGGGTTGAATGAGTTGCTGACTGAGAGTTGCTGACTGAGAGTTGGGTTGACTGAGAGTTGGGTTGACTGAGAGTTGGGTTGACTGGAGATAGGTTGCTGAGAGTTGGGTGACTGAGAGTTGTTGACTGAGAGTTGCTGACTGAGTTGTGAAGAGTGTGTTGACTGAGAGTTGGGTGACTGAGAAGGTTGACTGGGAGAAGGCTGACTGGAGTTAGGCTGACTGAGAAAGGTTGACGAGAGAAGGATTGAGAGTTAGGTTGACTGAGATAGGTTGACTGAGAGTTGTTGACTGAGAGAGGGACTGAGAGAGAGTTGACTGAGAGTTGGGTTGACTGAGAGTTGGGCTGACTGAGAGCAGTTGACGAGAGTGCAGGTTGACAGAGAGTTGGGTTGATTGGAGTTGGGTGACGAGAGTTGGGTTGACTGAGAGTTGGGTTGACTGAGAGTTGGGTTGACTGAGAGTTGGGTTGACTGAGAGTTGGGTTGACTGAGAGTTGGGTTGACTGGAGAGTAGGCTTGACTGGAGAGTTGTTGACTGAGAGTGGGTTGACTGAGAGTTATGATTGAGAGTTGTTGACTGAGTTAGGTTGACTGAGAGTTGTTGACTGAGAGTTGTTGACTGAGAGCTAGGTTGACTGAGAGTTAGGTTGACAGAGTTGGGTTGATTGAGAGTAGGATTGGAGAGTTAGGGTTGACTGAGAGTTGTTGAATGAGAGCAGGACTGAGAGTTGGACTGAGAGGACTGAGAAAGGTTGACTGAGAGTTAGGGACTGAGAGTTGGTTGACTGAGAGTTAGAGCGACTGAGTTGCTGACTGAGAGAGGTTGACTGAGAGTTAGGCGACTGAGAGTTGGGTTGACTGAGAGTTGGGCTGACTGAGAGTAGGTTGACTGAGAGTTGGGTTGACTGAGAGTTGGGTTGACTGAGAGCTAGGCTGGACTGGAGAGGTAGGCTGACAGAGAGTTGCTGATTGAGAGCTGGGTTGACTGAGAGCGGGACTGAGAGTTGCTGACTGAGAGTTGGGTTGACTGGAGAGTTGTGGGATTGAGAAAGGTTGACTGAGCATTAGCGACTGAGAGAAGGACAGAGAAAGGTTGATTGAGAAGGTTGACTAGATAGGTTACTGAGAGTAAGGACTGAGAGTTGACTGAGACATTGACAGAGAAGGGACTGGAGAGGTACAGACAACATGCGTAAGAAACATGAGGTACAGACACATGTGAGGTACAGACAACATGTGTGGTACAGACAACATGTGTGGTACAGACATGTGAGGTACAGACAACATGTGGTACAGACATGAGGCAGACAACATGTGTGGTGGTACAGACAACATGTGTGGTAAGACAACATGTGAGTGGTACAGACAATGTGTGGTACAGACAACATGTGAGTACAGACAACATGTGTGGTACAGACAACATGTGTGGTACAGACAACATGTGGTACAGACAACATGTGAGGTACAGACATGTGTGGTACAGACAACATGTGTGGTACAGACAACATGTATGTACAGACAATATGAGGTACAGACAACATGTGTGGTACAGACAACATGTGGTACAGACAACATGTGTGGTACAGACAACATGTGTGTACAGACAACATGTGAGTACAGAACATGTGTGGTACAGACAAATGTGTGGTACAGACAACATGTGTGAGGCAGACAACATGTGTGGTACAGACAACATGTGAGGTACAGACAACATGTGAGGTACAGACAACATGTGTGGTACAGACAACATGTGAGGTACAGACAACATGTGTGGTACAGACAACATGTGTGGTACAGACAACATGTGAGGTACAGACAACATGTGTGGTACAGACAACATGTGAGGTACAGACAACATGTGAGGTACAGACAACATGTGTGGTACAGACAACATGTGAGGTACAGACAACATGTGAGGTACAGACAACATGTGTGGTACAGACAACATGTGTGGTACAGACAACATGTGAGGTACGACAACATGGTGGTACAGACAACATGTGGTACAGACAACATGGTGGTACAGACAACATGTGAGGTACAGACAACATGTATGGTGCAGACAACATGTGGTACAGACAACATGGTATGGTACAGACAACATGTGTTACAGACAACATGTGTTACAGACAACATGTGGTACAGACAACATGTGAGGTACAGACAACGGTGGTACAGACACTGGTGACAACATGTGATTACAGACAACATGTGTGGTACAGACAGCATGGTACAGACAACATTGTCAGACATGTGGTACAGACAACATGTGGTAGACAAATGGTATGTGGTACAACAACATGTGGTACAGACAACATGTGGTACAGACAACATGTTGGTACAGACAACATGTGAGTAGGCAGACAACATGTGGTACAGACAACATGTGTATCAGACAACATGTGAGGTACAGACAACATGTGTTCAGACAACATGTGTGGTACAGACAACATGTGGGTACAGACAACATGTGTGGTACAGACAACATGTGAGGTACAGACAACATGTGTGGTACAGACAACATGTGTGGTACAGACAACATGTGTTACAGACAACATGTGAGGGTAGACAACATGTGGTACAGACAACATGTGTGGTACAGAAACATGTGGAGTACAGACAACATGTGTGGGACAGCAACATGTGTGGTACAGACAACATGTGTGGTACAGCACAACATGTGTGGTACAGACAACATGTGAGGTACAGACAACATGTGATTACAGACAACATGTGATGAACAACATGTGGTACAGACAACATGAGGTACAGACAACATGTGTGGTACAGACAACATGTGAGGTACAGACAACATGTGTGGTACGAACATGTGTGGTACAGACAACATGTAATTGCAGACAACATGTTGGTACAGACAACATGGTGGTACAGACAACATGTGTGGTACAGACAACATGGGTGCAGAGAGACACATGGACAACATGTGTGGTACAGACAACATGTGTGGTACAGACAACGTGAGTACAGACCACATGTGTGGTACAGACAACATGTGGTACAGACAACATGTGTGGTACAGACAACATGTGTGGTACAGACAACATGTGTGGTACAGACAACATGTGTGGTACAGACAACATGTGTGGTACAACATGTGGTACAACATGTGAGGTACAGACAACATGTGGTACAGACAACATGTGTGGTACAGACAACATGTGTGGTACAGACAACATGTGGTGCAGACATGTGGTACAGACAACATGTGGGCAAGACAACATGTAGGTACAGACAACATGTGTGGTACAGACAACATGTGTGGTACAGACAACATGTGTATACAGACAACATGTGAGGTACAGACAACATGTGTTACAGACAACATGTGAGGTAACAGACAACATGTGAGGTACAGAACAACATGTGATAAGACAACATGTGTGGTACAGACAACATATTGGTACAGACAACATGTAAGTACAGACAACATGTGTGGTACAGACAACATGTGAGTACAGACAACATGTGATTGCAGACAACATGTGTGGTACAGACAACATTGACAGACAATGTGTGGTACAGACAACATGTGTGTGGTACAGACAACATGTGAGGTACAGACAACATGCATGTTACAGACAACATGTGTGGTACAGACAACATGTGTGGTACAGACAACATGTGGTACAGACAACATGTGGGTACAGACAACATGTGTGGTACAGACAACATGTGTGTGGTACAGACAACATGTGAGGTGCAGACAACATGTGATACAGACAACATTGTGGTACAGACAACATGTGTGGTACGACAGCATGTGGAGACAACATTGGTACAGACAACATGTGAGGTACAGACAACCAGTGTTGCAGACAACATGTGGTACAGACAACATGTGTGGTACAGACAACATGGTTGGTACAGACAACATGTGTGGTACAGACAACATGTGGGTGCAGACAACAATTTAGTACAGACAACATGTGTGACAACATGTGTGGTACAGACAACATGTATGGTACAAACAACATGTGTGACAAATGACAACATGTGAGGTACAGACAACATGAGGTACAGACAACTGACAGACAATTGTTACAGACAACATGTGTGGTACAGACAACATGTGTGGTACAGACAACATAGTGGTACAGACAACATGTGAGGTACAGACAACATGTGAGGTACAGACAACATGTTGGTACAGACAACATGTGGTACGAAATATGCAGACAACATGTGGTACAGACAACATGTACAGACAACATTGGACAACATGTAGGTACAGACAACATGTGTGCAGACAACATGTGTGGTACAGACAACATGTGAGGTACCAACATGTGGTACAGACAACATGTGTGGTACAGACAACATGTGAGGTACAGACAACATGTGAGGTACAGACAACATGTGTGGTACAGACAACATGTGAGGTACACAACATGTGATAGGACAACATGTGTGGTACAGACAACATGTATGGTACAGACAACATGTGTGGTACAGACAACATGTGAGGTACAGACAACGTAATTGCAGACAAGACAACATGTGTGGTACAGACAACATGTGTGGTACAGACAACATGTGGTAATAACATGTGAGGTACAGACAACATGAGGTACAGACAACATGGAGGGTACAGACAACATGTGAGGTACAGACAACATGTGGTACGACAACATGTGAGGTACAGACAACATGTGTGGTACAGACAACATGTGAGGTACAGAGTTGGTACAGACAACATGTGTGGTACAGACAACATGTGAGGTACAGACAACATGTGAGGTACAGACAACATGTGGTACAGACAACATGTGAGTACAGACAACATGTGAGGTACAGACAACATGTGTGGTACAGACAACATGTGTGAGTACAGACAACATGTGGTACAGACAACATGTGGTACAGACAACGTGGTACAGACAACATGTGTGTGCAGACAACATGTGTGGTACAGACAACATGTGTGGTACAGACAACATGTGTGGTACAGACAACATGTGAGGTACAGACAACATGTGTGGTACAGACAACATGTGGTCAGAAACATGGTACAGACAACATGTGTGGTACAGACAACATGTGAGGTACAGCAACAGTGTGGTACAGACAACATGTGTGGTGACAACAGGTACAGACAACATGTGTGGTACAGACAACATGTGAGGTACAGACAATGTGTGGTCAGACAACATGTGTGGTACAGACAACATGTGAGGACAACTGGTACAGACAACATGTGATTACAGACAACATGTGTGGTACAGACAACATGTGGTACAGACAACATGTGTGGGTACAGACAACATGTGTGGTACAGACAACATATAAGTTACAGACAACATGTGAGTACAGACAACATGTGTGGTACAGACAACTTGGTACAGACAACATGTGGTACAGACAACATGTGAGGTACAGACAACATGTTGCAGACAACATGTGTGGTACAGACAACATGTGAGGTACAGACAACATGTGTTACAGACAACATGTGTGGTACAGACAACATGTGGTACAGACAACATGTGAGTACAGACATGTGAATGTGGTACAGACAACATGTGAGGTACAGACAACATGTGAGGGTACAGACAACATGTGGATGAGACAACATGTGAGGTACAGACAACATGTGAATTACAGACAACATGTGGTACAGACAACATGTTGTGCAGACAACATGTGGTACAGACAACATGTGAGTACAGACAACATGTGTGGTACAGACAACATGTGGTACAGACAACATGTGGTGGACAACATGTGGTACAGACAACATGTGTGGTACAGACAACATGTGTGTGGTAACAGACAACGTATGGTACGACAACATGTGGTACAGAGTGGTACGACAACATGTGAGGTACAGACAACGTATGGTACAGACAACATGTTGGTACAGACAACATGTTATCAGACAACATGTGTGGTACAGACAACATATGAGGTACAGACAACATGTGTAGGCCAGACAACATGTGAGGTACAGACAACATGTGAGGGTACAGACAACATGTAGGTACAGACAACATGTGGGTACAGACAACA